ACGCGCGAAGCTTTGCCACGTTTGGATAATTATCGAAACATCATGTCCATACAAGCTGCCTATCGGCCCACACTTGATGAGTTGCACAACGCAACGCTCACCGGAAAGGTAAAATTTCGATTTCGAAATAATTTTAACTAAAATAGTCACAGTGTTATGATTCTCTGGCATACTAACTTACATAAGCACCTAATTGAATTCATCTATAATTGTGTGCATCTTCAAAAGCTCGATTGTCTTCGTATATTCTTATTATTGTTGCTGTTCTTTTACTATTTCTAATTGGTTTAGTGGGTTCAAAATTGCTGCATTTCTCACTGTAACCCCTGTAATTCAATTGCATGGCGAATAAGATTCCCTGGAAATATGAAGGCCTACATACAGATAGTTATACATATGTATAGAGATATACTATGTGCATTTACATTCCGATGCTGTGCGATTGAATATAAACTGGGGCAATTACTCCCAGCACAAAAGCCACTCATAATTTAATTAAGACCAATTTTTAATTGATGCGTCATTTAGTGAATTTCAATGCGCCATTTTGGCCTTTGGGCGAATGCTTTTAAAACGCTAAGACAAATCAAAAGCTCTGATGTGCTCAGTATCTGTTTGCATATGTAAAGGGTGTCTTTTTTTAGACCCATATTATTGTGCCACGAAGTTTGTAACGAAGTTTCGCAGAAGGAAACCTTGGTGGGTCTATAAATTATATATAAATGTTCAGCGTGACGATATGAGTAAGTGGACGCCTATGTCCATCTGTCTGTCTATATATACGTGAACTAGTCCCTAAGTATTCCAGATATCGATTTGAAATTTTACATACAGCCTATTCTCCTCAAGAACCTGCTCATTTGTCTGAAGCGCCGATAACGGACTACTAGGTTCGTTAAACCTCTGCAAGTTTGTCGCTAGTTCTGACAAGCTGATAGTGCTGGCGCATTTGCCAAAGTTAACGAAGAAGCTATTAAGACGTCGACGTCCAAAAAGCCCATAATATGGGTTTCGATCCAAGAGCTCTACTTTAACGTCTGCAATTTTGCATCACTTTTTCCAGACTGTATTTGAGCAAGAACGTGTTTTATGTAGGATTCTAACTAATCATTTTTAGCTGGTTTATCTGTATAGGAAACAGAATCGACTTAAACCCCAACCAAAACTAGTCTAACTGAACCAATTCTAGCACCTGTAGATTTGTATGATTAAGTGCCTGTTGATTTATATAACTCGCTCACCATAAGCTTCAATAAATAGATAGTTCCGCAAGCTCCATGACTTGTTCCACCGTCTTTTTCGGATCTTTTATCACTTAGATGCCTGACTCGTGTGGTTCACAAATGTAACGAGATACTGCCTGTCGGGATCACCATAAACGGTACCATTGAACCTAAATCCATTAATGATGGCTTAGGAACACCAACCACATTTTTAGACATTTTTTGGAATGCCAGCGAGCCTGAAAAGCCTCCTTAAGATTTTCTACAATCCAAAAAAATATTTTTCTTGTTTCCGAAAGCCTTAAGCAGGAAAGAACGGGAGTTTTGGAATTTATTTTTCATGATTTATAGACCTTACATCGCTGTTGAATTACTTTGACAGCTATGTGTATCTCTATGGAACCTTAAAGCTCTGAACACACCCTTTATATTTGTTTACCACTGTATAATGAATGATGAAACATTTTAAGTAAACTTATTATAATTAATAAATTAAATTATATATAATATTTAATTAAATAAATAATATTTGCATTCCACAGAGTGCCAGCTTAAATCGCAATCAGGATCCGGAAGCAGGCAATATGAATGGTGTGCTTAAATTCGGTTGGATTAAGGGCGTTTTAGTCCGTTGTTTACTCAACATTTGGGGTGTTATGCTATTTCTGCGTCTCAGCTGGGTCGTAGGACAAGCTGGTGTTATAGAGGGATTCATTTTGATTTTAACGACCACAGTGGTTACTGTTGTAACGTCGTTGTCAATGTCGGCGATTAGTACAAATGGTGTTATCAAAGGCGGTAAGTAAGATTATGGAGATACTGGAGATATGTATTAGGTTGTCTGAAAAGGTAAAATGTTGGTCCAATTTGAATATTGTCGTACGTATAATAATACGATTTTAACAAAAATTTAGAAGGTTGCCACATGTTGAATATTTGAAAAGGAAATAATGTATATGCAAAAAATACTACAAATTGAAAATATTGAGATGGCTAGCAATTAAAAACAGGGAAGGTTGCCACCTGTTTAAAAAAGTTTTTCACCGAAATTGAAAAGATAAACGAGTTATTCAATGAGTATAAAAGTAACGAATTTTAAACGACAAATATTTTGGGGTAGCCACCTGTTTGCAATTTTATATTGTATTATTTGAAAAACCAAAATATGGGCATCAAACTAAACAGGCTTAAGAAAGATTTCTCTAAAAAAATATTTTTATAAGAGTTGCCACATGTTAAAAAAATGAGTAAACAAAAATACAATATAATGAAACGCCACAAAATGGGTATCATAGAGATGTAATAAAGTTTACTGTTGCAAACAAAAAAAAAATAAGTACTAAGACATATGAGTCGAATATGTATGAGTCTAATTCTCCAAACTCTTCTCAGGTGGGACATATTATATGATATCACGCTCACTGGGTCCGGAATTTGGCGGTTCCATTGGTCTTATATTTTCACTGGCGAATGCCGTAGCCTGTGCCATGTACGTGGTGGGTTTCTGTGAATCTATGTTAGATCTGTTGCGCAGTTTCGATCTCACTATTGTTGATGGCGGTATTCAAGATGTGCGCATTATCGGTTGTATAACCATAACCATACTACTTGTTATTGTTGTCGTTGGTATGGAATGGGAGGCGAAGGTAAGAATAATTTACAAAAATTATTGTACATAAGTATATTTCGTAATGTTATTGTGTATTTTTTTAAATTACTTTAGGCCCAACTTGGTTTACTCGTCATACTGTTGGTTGCTATTGGCGATTTCTTGATCGGTTCATTGATTGGACCTAAAAGCGAAGTTGAAAAAGCTAAGGGTTTTATCGGCTATAATTGTGAGTGTAAAGTTAGGTTTTTTTTGTATGATTTATTCTTCATTGCTGTTGTCGTTTAGTTACAATCTTTAAAGAAAATCTTTTTCCCGACTATCGAAAAGAAAATGGCGTACAACATGATTTCTTCTCGGTAATAGCTATTTTCTTCCCGGCAGCTACGGGCATTTTGGCAGGTGCTAATATATCTGGTGATTTAAAGGTAAGTTAATCGTTAAATAATACTTGATAGGAATATCATATAAGAATGTGGGTTGCCACATTTTGAAAAATTTTAATCAAAAGAATACATATATGAGTAAAAAACTACAAATCGATGGTCTGGACGGTTTATAGTTGAAAATATTTTGGAAAAGGATGGCCACATGTTTCAAGAATTAAATTCAATAAAATTTATAATATAAGCGAATTATTACGATTTGAGTATACCTATGTAAAATGAAAGACGTGTAAGGACTATAACGATTTAGATGAGCTGCCACCTGTTACAATTTTGGAGTCAAAATATACTGGTTTTATTAGGATTTCTGTTCAAGATATATTTTAACGGTTTTTATATATTTAACGAACTTAACTTAATTTTTATCTAAGATAAAATTAATTCGGTAGCATTGGAGAATACGTTGTTGTCTTAAACAACAACTCGTGCCAAATTTCGTGAAGATACCTCGTCAAATGGAAAAGTTTTCCATGTAAGAACTTTACTACGATCATTCAGTTAATATGGCAGCTATATGCTATAGTCATCCGATCTAAACAATTTCTTCTGAGATTACATTGTTGCCTTAGAAAATACGTCATGCCAAGTTTCCTGAAGATACCTGGTGAAATGAAGAAGTTTCCGATACAAGTACTTGATTCCGATTGTTCAGCTCGTCATGCTGATCATTTATGTATATATTTTATAGGGTATCCGACGTTTCCTTCTAGGTGTTACAAACTTCGTGGCAATCTTAATATAACCTGGTCAGCGAATAAAAATCGCATATAATATATACTTGTAGTAAGCAACAGTCAGTTTTAAAACATCTTCCTTTACTATAACGTAGTAGTGACTATCTTAGGAAGAGGGATGGCACGTGTGGTATATGCTTTGAGCTACTGGCATTTGTAAAAATGTTCGGCTAAGTAAAAAATTGACAGAGGTCATTCGACGACAACCATTTTTTTTTTAATGGAAATCATAGATATATTATCTTCAATACATACCAATATGCTCAGATAAATTTACTTAGGAAAATGATGGGTTGTTCCGCAAATGGTTGAAGCAAATTTACACAGCTTAAAAATAATATAAATTTGTATATATACGCTTCGACGCTGCTTTAGACGAGCAGTTGACTTTTCAATGCCCTACTTTTAACCGACTATTTTCGTAATGAAATAGTTAGAAATCGAAAATTCGGGTTCGGAAAAATTTACCATATTTTTAATTTTAAATTCATTAAGTATTCTTGTTTTTATTGTTACTTTTATACCCTGAACAGGGTATATAAAGTTTGCCACGAAGTTTGTAACACACAGAAGAAAATTCATGAAATTGATCATATATTGTTGTCGAAGGCAACGGTACAGTGCCCGAACAAACTGTTCAGATCGAACCACTATAGAATATAGTTGCCATACAAACTGACCAATCCAAATCAAATTTTGTATGTAATCTTTCGACGCAACCGAAGTGAACGTGTTATTTCTTGTTTTTTTTTTATTGTAATTTAAATATAACTTATTTTATTATTCACTTTTATTTATTATATTTTTATTTAGGATCCACAAAAATCAATACCAAAGGGAACGCTCTTAGCCATCTTAATTTCTACCGCTACTTATCTCTTTATGGTTCTTGTTTGTGCTGCCACAGTCGCACGTGATGCCACCGGAAACTTGGCTGACATGGCAAATGACTCTTTTGCATTTTTGAACTGCACACCAGGTGACTTAATTTTTATTATTAAATATTGTCAATATTTTTTTAACAATATTAATACTTAAATTCCAGGTGAATGCCATTACGGTTTACAAAACTCATTTCAAGTCATTGAACTTGTTTCTGGCTTTGGACCACTGATCTACGCCGGCTGTTTTGCGGCAGCCATTTCATCCGCCTTGGCCAGTTTGGTCTCAGCACCGAAAGTATTTCAGGTATATTAAGCATATTTAAAGTAATTCATATGAAAATATTTTACTTTGAGTTATGTCATTCTATGTAGGCGCTGTGCAAAGATGAGCTCTATCCAAAAATCGTGTGGTTCGCCAAAGGATACGGCAAAAATAATGAACCCTTCCGTGGCTATGTGCTAACATTCATCATTGCTGTTGCGTGAGTCTTATTTTTATTATATTAATATTTATTATATTATATTAATATAATTTATTAATTTTTTTTATATCTCTCGCTTTATTCACCTTTCAGTTTCATTTTAATCGGCGAACTCAACTTGATCGCGCCACTTATTTCGAACTTCTTCCTTGGCGCCTATACGCTCATCAATTTCAGCACCTTCCACGCCAGCTTAGCCAAACCAATTGGCTGGCGTCCAACCTTTAAGGTACTCACATACATATTTTCTCCATTTATTGTATTTTCAAATTAATGCTCTACGTTCTTTGAATCTCTCCCTTCAGTACTACAACATGTGGCTTAGTTTAATAGGTTCGATACTCTGTGTGGCCGTTATGTTCCTTATCTCTTGGGTAACGGCACTCATCACCTTCGCCGCTGTATTGGCGCTATACTTAATCGTCGCGTATCGCAAACCCGATGTTAATTGGGGCTCGACGACACAAGCGCAGACCTACAAGAATGCGCTAATATCAGTGCAGCAGTTGAATAATGTGGAGGAGCATGTGAAAAACTATAGACCGCAGGTAAAAATAAAATTTATTATTTAAATGCGCCATTATGCCAACCTCTTACATCTGACTAGATCTTGGTGCTGTCGGGTTTGCCGAACACACGTCCAGTGCTCGTAGATTTTGCCTATATGTTGACGAAGAATCTTTCGCTACTCGTTTGTGGGCATGTGCTGCGTGGTACGAGCTCTCAGCGTTATAGAAATTATTTGCTAGACCGAGCCACTACATGGTTCCGTAAACATCATGTCAAAGGCTTCTATTCACTCGTGGATGGCGAAGATTTGGAGGCAGGTACGCGTGCTCTAATGCAGGTAGGTAGCTAAAAAGCACGTAAATTCTCAGTTTCAGTGGTAAGGCCAGTCCAAAACCCTCAAAGAAAGACCTAACTTTGCCAATTTATTCTGAGAGTAAAGAAAACTAATTACTCTCATTAAAGATTTATTAAATTTGTATTTGAGTGTATAAAGAATTGTGATAGAAAATAGTGTTTGCTAAGTCAATCAAAGTGATTCTGAATACCTTTTCAAGAGTGTTTCGACGGACAACGGTGATTCCAGCGTGCTGCCTGAAATCAAATAAAAAGCTGGATTTTAATCTACATAAGACTTGGAAGTAAATATTATGTGTTTAGTTGATATGAGCGTTAGTCTTCGAGTACTATCGTCACCCGATTTTAAAAATGCAGCTTCGTGAAATACACATTCAAATTTTACTTTTTCGTACTGGTGCTGACTGCGGCGAAAGCTTTGACATTAGCGCCAATTGGAAAGGAAAAAGCTAACGTTTTGCTTTTCTAGGAATTGAATAATGTTTTTAGGACCCTAAAGTGCGATTTTTGAAATTTTTGGACTAGCCTGATCCACCGACTAAGTGTCTGTTTTTTTTTTACATATTTCTCAAAAATTAATATTAATCTCTTCATTTATTCGACTCCAAAGGCCTCCGGTATTGGCAAACTTAAGCCGAATATTCTGCTTATGGGCTATAAAAATGATTGGCAGACTTGTGATAAGAAGGATTTGGATCAATACTTCAATATAATGCACAAGGTGAGTGTAAAATTGCAATCTCAATATTGTCAAATCAAACTTTTCCCATTATATACTTTTCAGGCTTTGGACATGTATTTATCTGTTGCTATTTTACGTTTACCGAATGGCCTCGATTGTTCGCAGATTTTGGGTGACGAAAGTAGCGTCGCCAAAAATGTGAACGATATACCACGCACGCTCCAGCCGAATGAGAGCTCGGCCGATTTGATGTCCGCCGATAGAAGTGTGCAGAATGGTCTAAGCGGCAGTATGGATTCGCTAAGTCGCAATGTTTCACAAGGTAGCGTATGGCTCTATAGCCGCAAGCCACTGAGTCATTAGTAAATACTCATTATTATCACGTGTATAGTTATCTGCGCACATATTTGTTATATAAATATGCAATTGCATATGTAAATTCGCATGTGCAAGTATTTATTGTGATAAGAATGCCATTCCGACAATATTTGAATTTGCTAGTTTATAGTTTAACGACTGATGAGGGCGTAAAGTCAAATATGAGCTTTATGAGCTGCTGTTTGCTGATGCAAATAGAAAATACATTAAGCAGGGTCGGTATTTATAAGTCAAAAAAGTTTACCATCAGTAAAAAGTAGCATATTTAGCATGTAAGCGACCTGCAAAAGAACACTCGCTAAAACGTAGTAAAAGGATTATCAAACTGTTGTAAAATACATTAGGCAAGAACAGTTTTTTATGGGTCGATCTTCAAGAAGCAAAAGCAAAAGAACACTCGCTAAAAAACAGAATGAACAGCAACACAAGTTCGGCTATATTTTCTGAATTCTGAAAAATTACAAAAAAAAAATATTGCCTTAAGTCTCGAAACAACAATTTTACAATTAACATCTCAACAAGTGTTTTTATACTCTGAGCCCAGAACGAGACTTCGAAGATCCTATAAAGTATGTATATATTCAGTCGATTTAGCCATTTACGCAAACTAGTCCCTCAGATATCGATCTCCCCTGAGATATCGATCTGAAATTTTTCACACGTCCGTTTCTGTCCAAGAATCTTCATATATATACATATATTCACAGATAATTTTCAAACTCTTAATACTAGCATGTTTTTATTATTGTATTTTTTTAGGTAACTAATTCGCTAAGCCAATTTTACATTTTAACTAATCATTTCTTTTATTTTATATTTCTATATTTTTTGCATGGTTGCACTTTTGTTATTAATATTTCTGAACCTCACCCTTATTGTCTCGATGTATATACACACCAATATACTCTTAAAATCCGTTATCACCTGATGCACATGTACCACATACCTATTTACATATCTACACATGTAAATGCACTGCATTTGGCGGCTCAATTGTAGATGCTGGTGACTCGCCTAGAACAGAGAACGGCTTGAAACAATTAAAATGTAAGTGGCATGTCAAATCTTATGACTTATAACTGTATATATTTCTTATTTTATATACTATATATATGAATGTGTGTTAAAGTAGCTTAAATCGACTTGCATTAATAGTGATAATTCGAGCAACTTAATCGAGATTCGATGTTAATTTGCCTTAAACCATAATTTTGAATATGAAGCTTTAAATTACGAATAAATACGACGAAAGTCCATATTTATACCCTGAACAGGGTATATTAAATTTGCCACAAAATTTGTAACACCTAGAAGGAGCGGTCGGAGACCCTAAATAAGCTGAGTAGATTTAGCCATGCCCGTCTGGCTGTCCCACAGTCCCTCAGTTTTTGAGATATCGATCTGAAATTTTGCACACATCCTTTTCTTCTCAAGAATCTGCTCATTTTTGGGAACCGCCGATATTGGACCAATATAACGTATAGCTGCCATATAAACTAAACTAACAAAATTTAGTTCATGTATGGAAAATTTTTTTATTTGAAAAGATATCTTCCCGAAATCTAGCATAGGTTCATATCGAACCACTATAGCATATTGCTGCCATACAAACTGACCGATCAAAATCAAATTCTTGTATGGGAGCTTTTTTATTTGTGAAGGGTGTTATACCTGCGGTGCAACCGAAGTTCACGTCTACCTTAGTACAAGTCGGCTTACTCTATTTTAACATATTACCACAGATATATGAGTAACGCATACCTCTAATGTAAAATAAAAATAAAAAAATTTCAATATTACGTAATAATTTGAAAAGTAACTATCGTACCTTTTAAAGTAATTTAGAAATTCAAATCTAATTACTTAAATAACGTTTATTTCTAAAAACAGCCTCCAGCACCAGTGATTTATCCTTCATGGCAGGCACCCAAGTTAAAGAAGTTTCCGGCTTACCCGACCCAGTGGATCCAAAGTCCCCTCAACTATTGGTGAGAGTGAACCTTGAAACAAATATTAAAAAAACCCAATATTTCTTAATTTAATGATATTTGTTTTATAATATAATTTACGACCAATAATTCATAAGCAAAAAATTGCAAATTTTAGACCAATTCTCTACGCAAGTCTAAGCTGAAGCACAATGACCCCGCTTCATTGTATAAGGGTCCTGGTGGCGCAGAATTACCAAAAGAAATATTAATGGAGCTGTCGCAGTTCACGCGTAAGCGCAGTCATGCCGTTATCGATGTTTGGTGGCTATACGACGACGGTGGCCTAACCCTACTTTTGCCTTATATAATCAGTACACGACGCACATGGCAATCGTGCAAATTGAGGTAAGTACAATAATTTAATTGTGGGTTTATATTTATTTTTCTACTATATACATATATACAACTAATTGTAATAATTTTTTTTCCAGAGTATACGCTTTGGCAAACAAAAATTCCGAATTGGAATTCGAACAGCGTTCAATGGCTAGTTTATTATCGAAATTCCGTATCGACTACTCAGATTTGACGCTAATACCCGACATAACGAAGAAACCACAAGAAACAACAACGGCTTTCTTTAATGAGCTTATCAAGGAGTTTGTCGTGAGTAGTGACAAAGATAATGTGCCCCCAAATGTGGCAGCCGATGATGAATGTGAGTGCACTTTTATGTGTGTAAATATTTGTGTTTAATTTGGCAACTCGCTTCATTAGAAAGTATATATTTATAATTAAAAATATAAATAATATATTTATTATTTATAATTTTCACAATATTTAAAATCAAGTATTGGGGAAATAAATAAATAAATTTATTCAAATAAGCAGCTTAGCTAAAACGACACAAACACATATGCATTTAAATATAAAATAAATTTTCTAATAAATATTTATTTCTATTAAACCTTTTGCAGCAATAATCACCGACGATGATTTAATGGCTGTACAAGACAAAACTAATCGTTATCTGCGTCTGCGCGAATATTTACACGAACAATCAATGAAGTCCGATCTGGTCGTGATGACGTTGCCAATGCCCCGTAAAAATATTGTCTCGGCACCGTTATATATGGCGTGGCTGGAGAGTTTGAGTCGTGACATGCCGCCTTTCCTCTTCGTGCGCGGCAATCAAACAAGTGTTTTAACCTTTTACTCGTAGAAAATCGCACCTGAACTCATACATACATATGTACATATAAAAGTTGTATGTGTGTATTGATTTATGTACATATATACATATAGAACAATGTATAAGTACAATGACACTTTGTAAGTGCTATGTGCACAAGCACTAAAATAAATCAAGTTTCATCAACTGTTTTCGCTGTTCTTTTGTTTAACATATTTTATTTATTTAATTTTATTGTAATGGCAAAACATGTAGAAATTACCTTTTTAAACTACTTGCTGACGTAAAAATAAAATTAATTATTATGTATGTGCATCTTCGTAAAAATTTTAAAATTTTTCTGAAAACTGAGTAAAACGATATATTAAAGCACAAAATGCACAGTTATACGCTTTGACGAACTTTAGTGGAGTTATGATTTTTTTTATGAAACAGTTAAAATCTATTTTTAAAAATCAATTATATTATATTATGACATTTGAAGAATATTCGGTTAAATTTTAATGCCGAAATATTGAATAATAAGGGCAATGGCAGCAATTACTCTGGAGCTTCTCGGAAAAAGGTTGAATTGTGGTGCCCTCATAACTCGGCGTTGGATCTTCTAAACTCAAAAAATTATTATCGTTATAGTGTTTTTCGAAATTTAAATTTTTCACTTTTTCGAAACACTTTGAAGGAAAAACGCGTTTTTTGCGAACAAATCGATTAATTTGTTATCGTAAAATGAAGAATATTGACAAATTTAAAAATAAAACTTCAGCGTTTTCACGTAAATTATGTATAGAAATTTATATTTGTTTCCAAAGTTTCTAGGTGAAACACAGAAGAAAAAAAATAGTGTTCAAAATTTCAAAACGATCGGCGCAGTAGCTTTGAAGTTATGAGGGGCATCGACTTCCAAAACCTAAACGTTTGAAATTTGATGTGAAATACTCTTAACTTCGACAATTTTGCTCCATTCGTCTTGGAATTTAGACACAACATTCTTGTGTCTCATAACGGATTCATTCAAGGCATTCGAAGAAAAACTCTACTACCCCATTAAGACATTACCAAGTAAATAATTAAACGAATCTCGACTACCCTGATGTATACTTATACATACATATGTACGTATATCCGCCAAAGGAATATTATTGTTGTTATAATAGTTCAGTAATCCATATATTTCACATGTTGACTGTTCTCCTGACCCACTTATCTTACCTCTACAAAATGTACTGTCTTGGTCTGATTGAGAGTCATAAGAAAGATCCCAATGGCATAGAGTGGTCTATTCATAGCGGTGAAACGAAGAACAAAGTTGTCCGACGTCCCCCCGTGCTTCTTTAACCAATACATATCTGTAGTGCCCACTGACTAAAGAAATTTGATTGTTGTTTTTTTTTTAGTGATAGATATATTCCCCAACAATTTTCTAAGAATTCTGGTAAGTTGTCTAATTTATTGTATTACATCCGACACTCGTGGTAGAGGTTGTCGAAAATTGTCGAATTTCACAAGAACTTCCTAATAATGAAAATGAAATCACCCCAGATAAAATAATAGCATTTACGAGTTATTTTAACTATAATTTCATATTCACTGGCTGGCTAATTTATATTTGTAATGAAAATATTTGCCTAGCAACTTTTCTCCGATAACCGCCAAATTCAAATTGCGTACCGTACGCATAAAATGTTCTGGAATATCTATCCATGCACCCTGTGTCACTTGTCAAGCAGATAACCAATCCAATCATGAGCAAATCAATGACTCAGCATATACACAAACCATTTCATTGTTTAAAGTTCTATTGCCATTTCATTCGCACATACATTCCACTTAAAATAGCCATCACACTCGTGGTTCCGTTCATTGCCTATAGAGCGTCACGCAGCACAGTGTTGTATTACTTGGTTATCTTTTTGATAAAATTAATTTCTAAAGTTGAAACAAGTATAATATTTGAAGCGTGTTAGTAATTTAAAAAACATATATTCGGATGTTTTATTTAATCTTACTAGATAATTTGGTTGGACGAACTCAAGGGACATATAATTTTGAATAAGCAAATAGTAGACCTCTGGTTTATGCAATAGGCAACTCTATTGGATAAGTGGACCCTGTAGTGTGCAGAATTGTGGCAAAATATTTAATTCCGCAATTTTAGTAATTATAATCCGGTTGGTGTGTAAACTTCAATTTTTTTTATTGTTAGTTTAATATTGCGCGTATGTTTGCGCTAAAGTATTGATAAAAGTATAATCTATAAAATCGGAAGTTTGATTTCAAAAAGGATAAATCGAAAACGGCATTAATGAGTTGGAAACGCAACAAAAACGATAAAAGGAGTGTACGGCGAATTGTGTGCAGGAAAACGGACGCCAGATCAGATTATCCTAAAGTAATAAGCACAAAGTGAATATTACGTGTAACAAGTTTTCCTTCGAAGTTTATTTGGCAAACAGCATTAATAGTTATAAAAACCAACAGGCAGGTGCTTCTGCGTTTCCACTGTCAAGTTTACGACAAGGATCTTTGTGTCTAAAAATCTGAATCGGCTCTGAATTAGGAATAGTTACAATTGATGCGTGGTATTACTGACTAGTGATTAAAGGTAATGAATTAATTCTGTTCCCTGCAGTGTAATATAGCTTTTGTTTAAATTATTATGAATTTAAGCCTAATATATTTCTCGCCATTTTCTGTGTACCACCATATATAAATGCCGGTTTAAGGCAATTTCATAATATCAGATTGAAAAAAAAAGTTTCCTTTATACTAAATTTGCTTTAGATTGTACGTGAAAGTTATTTATAACAAACTTATATTATTCTTATACAACAACAGCAATCACACATTTTGACATTTTGGACGATTGGTTTTGGTACCATGAACAGCGTATTTTTTTCTTTTCTAAATTGTGTACTTAACAAAATTAAAAAGTAAACAAACTGTATAAATATTTGAATATTGGACCACTTGAAAATAACTGATCAAACAATGGATATTTATAGCTTGCATATCATTGTTATATATTAAGAAGATTGTGCGTAGGACAATATTTAACATTGGCATTATATTGGTATTATATTTACATACATTTATATTTTTGTAATTGATTCCAATTTTATAAATACAAGAAATTCTCATTGCCTCTCATTAACGTTGACAATTTAGCGCAATTTTGTGATTATTTAAACCATGTGGACATTAAAATGTTCATAATACATATATATGTACTATTTTTAAAGATTGATTTGGCCGACATCCGGGGAGTGCGGACAAACGTGCTAGTGGCGATTGCATGTTGTCGAAAATGTTTCATAAAACTATAAATAAATCTCGGCACAGTTTGGAGGACGGATGTTACGCATACAACAGGAATACATACCAATATTTGCTTACATATAGCCGATTCAAAGGCAAATTGTTGTAAGATCAAAAATTCTCATAGCCAAACGTATTTTGGAAAAAAAAAAAATAATGAACGTTGGCATATAAGAAGTAAATTGTTGCCAAATTCATTTAAGTATGCGGTGATAAGAAACGTTTGACCATTGAAATTACAGTCTAATGGGCTAATGTTATCGGTAGTAAGTGATAACGAATTTTATTATATGGATTAATGCATCGAAATATGATTTATATTTAGCATACACCTACAGATATTGAGGTATACATATGCATATATTAATGTACATACATATTTCAAATATATTTTGATTGAAGGCAATATCAGCAATATAAATATTGGGTGTGAACTACAAATCATTGAAACTTATTTGATTTGTTTGTTGAAAGGGAAAATATAAATTTATATAAACATAAAATTAAGTTCAGTAACTAGTCTAGTACCTATGTAGCTACATACTTATATAAATTTTAATAACAACGTATTTGTATTTCTATTATAAAATAGCACAAAATTTATTCATGTACATACATTCATACATACATACATAGGTATCTACAATATTCTAATGTTTTACATTTTTTATCATGTGATTTGACTAGACAACAGATTTGTAAATAGCCACGTGTCCATGACGCAATTTATAACTTGCAAAGTTATCAACCTGAAAATGGGTGCTATCTTGTACTAAAAATCTTACGTTGTGCATATAATGAGTGTGATGAAATAGTTCTTGAGTAGCGAGTAATCAGCCATTGTTTGCTGAATTTTGTTTCAATATAACATTTCAGATAAAAACCTGAAAGTGTCCTATAACTCATAAATCACAAGTACATACATATGTATACAAATAATTAAGCATTAAACCCTACAATTTTGTCTTATTTTTATCTACTCTTTTTTAATGAAATAAACTAAACAAGTAGATAATGTAGACGTTGTCTTCGTTGAAATATAAATCAATATGATCTAAGTTTTCATGATAAGAAAGTCCCAAGAAACTGTTAGAGTGATATTAATTCTCAGATCTCAGATGTGGGAAACATCGACAGGAGCTTTAGGTTTAGACTGTCAGCGGTTTTGGCTGTCTTTGGCAAATTGTTTGAGGTTTTTCTAGTCCTCATTTCAACAATGATAGTCACGCGCTCAATTCGACAATTACGTTAACTATTTACGAATAAAATTACATTTTAATGACATTTGAGTTCAAATTAGCGGAACGGTTCGGATATACTCGTGCGTCATTAACGCTTAAAGTGAACTACTAGAACGGGAATGAACAAAATTTAATAGTTTTTTGTTTCTGTAAACAGCAGAAATAAATAAAAATAGTACTTGAAAATTTTATAACCGAAAAACACTGTTTTTAGCTTATAATTTATGGCTCATCGGGAAAATCGAGCGGATCACACTAAATTCAATTACAGAAATTTTTTGATTGCAAAAATAAGCATTATTTACAGTTAGTGACGGTGATTATACAAAATGGCAGTGATTTACGTTGTTAAAACAAAAAAATTATTAATTTATATCAAGAGAATTTAAATGTTGTTTTAAATTCTTTATGTGAATATAAGTATAATATATTTGTGATTTTAAAAGTGATGACCATCAGAAAAGTCGCCAGTTTAGGCGGAAATGTGAAATGCGATTAACGGTTTTCTTTTTGTTTAATGCAAATTCCGCTTACTCAAATTAAAAAAATGTAATTTATCACAAGGTTCAAATTGCGCATGTAATCACACACTGTGCAAAATAACAAACCACAATAAAAACATTGAGCCGCAAACTGAGCATTAAATACCAATACCGGGGCTCTGATTTCGACGACAATTTTGAGCTCTGCAAAATGTGTTAGCATACAAATACACATCCATACATATGTACTTAAGCATTTGTATTTGTTAGCAATTGTATTGTATTTGCTGATGCTAGCTTAAGAGTATACACAGTTGTGTTCGAAAAATTACCAGTGACTTCATTTGTGTTGAATTAGATTACGATTATCGGTGTGGAATTTGTGTTTCTTTTGTTTTTTTTTTACTTTTAATAACTTTTGATTGATAAGCTTATCAATCGTATTACGCAGAACATATATTTCTTGTAACTTTATGTTACGTCAATATTGAGCATATTTCGATAGAATTTTGTTTCTGTATGCATTGTTTTTTTAATGCATTGTTTTTTTAACAGATGTTTTTTCGTAAATGAATGATTGAAGATTCATTTTATTCAATAACTAAATATATAATGTAGATTTACAGAATTCAATGTGCTTTACTAATCTGTGATTCATTTTGAAAAATATTGGATGACCTACAATACCGTAACAGATTTCAGATATTGTAGTAATGCTTTAGAAAATAACCGGAATTTCGTGGAGATATCTTGTGTGATAAAAAAATTTTCCAGACAAGAACTTGATGCCGTTCGTTCTGTTTGTATGGCTGCTTAATGCTACAGTAGTCCGATATCGGCGGGCCCGACAAATGAGCAGTATCTTGGAGAGAAAAGGATATGTGTGGACCAAGCCATAAGCTTAAAAAGCAGCTTGGGTGCAAATTTTCGAAGTTTGCTGGTTGATGGCCAGGAGTAGAATCATTTCGTTCCCACGATAGTTGTGTCTACAAAGAGGGAACGGATCTGAGCATATTATCGGCCGAGCACTGTCACCACGGCAGCATTCTCCACAACTATTTGGCTAGTAAAATTTTAAAAAATGTTTTATTATGTTGTTGGAGTGGCTGCTTTTGACCGGATAAGCATATATAATATTTCCTTTATGAGCGTAGACCCGACTGTCTTAGTCAAGTCTAGTAAAAATTTTCAGGGGCTTCTTCAAAAGTTTTCAATACTTTAAAATTTTTATTTATTTTTTATTTTTGAACGAAACTGTAACCACATACACTTGTAAAACAATATGCTGATGCTTGGGTCAATAGCATTTTTAAGCGATTTTGATGACAGAGAAAGAAATCAAATGAACTCGTTAAGAGGTAGATAAAAATGATATGAAAGCGGCTTTCTTTAATTACAGAATTCGGAGTATTACATAAATACACATGTGCATGTATGAATATATGAGAGTACTTGTATATATGCAAATAAGCTTCAATGTGCTGAGGTTTGCTCAAAAGCAAGTTAAATTTGATTGAAATGCGGTTTATTGCACTTCTAGACAGCTGACTGCTGATCAGTTTTCAATAATATATGAGGCTTATATACTTGTATATAAAATTTACATATACACATACTACATATGCTTATACATGGCACATGAGCAGGCTACTGTATGAAAATTTGGTGTCACGTTTTCAGGGGGGCTTAACTCTTAAACTACTGAACCGATTTTAGTAAAATTAAGCACACTGTGTCCAGTTTAATGCAACTTAAAAGATAGTTTATATCTTAGTTATGTTCAAAATTTAAACGTTTCATAAATATGTTTAAAAAATATACATATGTATTTCTAAGCAGCGTCATGTTTTCAAAATTAGTGTAACATGCCAAATCGAAAATTCATTATTTTTTCAATTGACTAATATTTTGTATGAAGCATTTTTCAAAATTAAAACTCAAATACTATCGCTTGTATGTTTATACCGGCAATAACGTTTTCGTCTTTATTCGTAAATAATATTTTCACTGTATTGAATAGTTTATTATAATAGTATTTATTGCACCATTATCAAAGCCACAACAACGCCTGGTCGGATCTTACCTTCTTAAAAGTTAAACTTCGGCTGTAATACCTTTCACAGGTGCATTTTTTATAGCATATAAGCATCGTTGGCTCGAAACCGGGCTTAGACCCATATTCTCTTAGGCAAAGTTGTTTCGAATAATCCGTAGCACATTTCTCGCATACCCGATTTTTCCGTTTTTTTTGTCTCCCTTTAAATCAACCGACTAATGTGCAGTGATCGCTTCTTTGTCCAAACTCTGGGTATCATGAAGAGCTATGAGCGCTTTGAAAATACTATATACTATATACATATACAAGTATATATATATATATGTATGTACATCCGAACTACATACATACGTGTGCCCATAGGTATGTATTGTATGATTAATAATACGTTTTTATGGTATATGTATGTATGTATGTAATCAGTATGCTATTCGCATTTAAATGTGGCCGTTAGTGTATTGCTGTTATATTTTAATTTTGATTTCATTCAATCGTGTGTATTGAATTT